TGGGACGTGGCGGAGGTAATTTCCGTCGTGATGGACGTCCAAGTCGTTTCGGAGATAACGAACCGCAGCGTGACTGCTGCGTCGCTATTAGAAATGCACCTAACCATACTAGTTACGGCGACGTCCGCCGTTTCTTCCCCTTTTTAATCGACAAACATGGAATAAAAATGATAAACGACAACATGGGACGTCGAACCGGAACTATCTTTGTTAGGTTTTGTGATTCTCGCTCCAAGCAGCTCGCATTACAACATAAAGTAAATGAATTAAAAGGAGCGCCAGTGGTCGTCGAGTCACTTGACGATAACGCTTATGAGTCTGCAGTCGATTCGTTCCTACCTTACCGCGAAGATAATGATGAAGAAGAACAACCCTTAACCCCTGCACAGCCCGAAGAACCCCGTAAGCACTTTAAAGTACTTAAATTAACAGATCTACCAAATTTTGTAAAAGAGCACGATATAATAAAAGCATTCAGTGACTTTTCACTACTCTCTATAATGGTGACAGACTGTCGTATGACTAGAACTAAAACAGCATATGTTCAATTTGTAAAACCTGAAGACGCAAAATTAGCATTAGACAGAAAAGAACGATACATATTTGGTAGAAGGCAGCCAACAATCATTCCTATCTCAGAAGAGCAGTATGAAAAAGAAAAACAGATGTCCGATAAAACACAAGAGATGCCCAAAAAATCTCAGAATGAACCTACACCAGAAGTGGCTGCACCTCGGGACCCGCGTCAGAGACGGCAACAATTTGATAATGGACCCGGAGGGCCTGGCGGACCTGGCGGGCCAGGTGGGCCTGGAGGGCCTGGCGGACACAAAGGAGGTCCAATGCAACAACAACCATCGGGAACTCCTTTCTTCACACCTCCTTTTGGGCAGCAACAAGGTTTCCCAGGACAATTTCCTGGGCCTGGACCACAATTCGGAGGATTTCCAGGTCCCGGCCCCATGGATCCTAGGACAACTGCACCAAACTGGGGTAACCGTCCACCCTTTGCGAATCAGATGGACCAAGCCTCAAAGCCCCCGCTTATTAATTCTCTACCTGACATGGATGATGAGCCTCTTGACTGCGTTTTGATGAAAGGTCTGCCTAGAGACGCAACAGATAGGACCATTGTCAATTTCCTATCAGACACCAACGCAGTACCAGCCCGGATACACTTAATGCTGGATTCTAACGGGATGCCCTCCGGAGACTGCTTTTGCGAGTTTAGGTCGACACAAGAAGCGAGAATGGCTACTAGTAAACACGGAAAGAATCTTGAGGGATGTCGTGTGACCATAGACTTAGTTCCTCGCAGTGTAGTTGAAGAAGCTTTAGAAGGACCCAAGCAGCCCGAAATGCGTGACGGAATGCTCGGCAATGTTTCCCAACAGCAGCCACCATTCTTTGATCCGATGCAGGGAGGTCGCGGAGGATTCCGCGGCGGATTCAGAGGTCGTGGGGGCTTCGACAGAGGTGGCTTTGATCGAGGTGGCTTCAACAACCGGGGCGGCTTTGACGCGGGTCGGGGCGGCTTTGACTCAAGTCGAGGTGGTTTTAGAGGGCGTGGAGGTTTTAACGAGCGAGGTCGCGGCTTCGATCGAGGACGAGGTCGCGGCAGAGGCTTCGGAGGACGTGGTGGGGTGGCCGGGGTTAATGGAGGATTCGATAATAATGGCCGCATGGATGATGACCACGACCCCGCACTTGATGATTTCGGCGCTCCTGGCTGTGTTGTGTCCATGGAAAACGTGCCATTCCGCGCTAGTATAGACGATATTATGGACTTCTTTTCTGATTTTGAGTTGACTCAAGATGATGTGATCAGGCGGTACAATGAACGCGGCCAGCCCACCGGCGACGCTCGTGTTGCATTCCGCACTCCATTCGACGCCCAGCGCGCCGTCAAAACCCGTCACATGGATATGATCCACGACAGGCGAATCAGTTTATGTATTCTATAGTACAATGTATGGGGTCCGACAGACTCCGATTCAGATATGGACTAGTTATGACTTGTGTAAATATGTATTCTAAAACTCAATGCGAGTTAAATAAGTGTGAGAATACTGTACCCACCGAATGGGTAATTAGCACTTAGATTTTATTGCAATATGATATTTGCAATAGCGGTTGCGTTGCTGTAGCTACGCAGAGGACATTAATTTGTATTGTCTAGGTTTATTAGATTTAATAAAAAAATGTTTCATAATTAAATTCGGAGTTTTATTTATCAAACGCAACATATTACTGATGTATACAATAATATCATGATTTGTGGTACAAAAGAGAGCATTACAGAACAACACTGTGTCCAGGAGAGGCAATAAAACACAAAATAATTCCATCAAATTAATATTTAATTATAGCTCTTGTTTAGGTACATAGTCTTATTTTAGTATCCCTTTGACTAGAACTTTGTTATACAAACTAAAGTTCGACATAGCATAGCTCCACCTGGACACGAATACATTCTATACAGCATACACAGTACGAGTATATATACAACATATACACATGCAATATTAATGTTAGGTACCAAGTCTCCTAATGCGGACAATTCGGTATTTCCGGAGGTTAATATCAAAGGAAATAAATACTGAGCTTCAACAAACAAAGTAATTGGTTGGATCAATATACATTTTACACTAATCATAATTACAAAATATTAATGAAACAACAAGTTACATGACAAATATTAATCAGAAAATGAGACATTTGCAATAATTTTCATTTACCTACATACAATAACAAGACATAACCTATCTAAGTTGAAAAGCGCATGCAATATAAATGAGAACAACTTTTGAACGTTGTTACTTGCACGATACATAGACATTCAATAATGTTTCATTAAGTAAATTATTGACAACGAAATGCCTAAAACATGGAACCCTTTTTCTTTTAATGTTAGGCACATAACAAAACCTGATTAAATAAACATAAAAATAAAACATTAAAACTCTTAAAATAGAGAATGCACATAGAATGCAGTAAGTAGATTTATTAATAAAACTTGAAGAAATGCGCCCAAAGAAGAGATCAAAACTATTAATTTTATGGAACAAAAAAATGTCTTTACAGGATAGTAAATACCTAAACAGGACCTTTTACATGAAAAAAAATAAACCATACTAGAATTTGTAAGAAAATTCGACATTAAGTATGATTCATGGCCCGTTTCATCACTGCTGATTAACTTTATGTTAGCTTCAGTAACACATGGCAACCAAAAATGAGGAAACGGCCTTAGGACATACAAAACTAACTCCAATTAAAACAGAAATATTCAACAGTATGAATAAGATAACAACTAAAACAATATTGTGATGAACTAAACATAAAACGTGAATAAATTACACATAGGAATTCATATAGAGAAACCTTTGCAGATAAAATGTAAATAGTTATCAACAAAATTGTGTATTGTAATGACGAAGACATTCTTCAAAGCACTAATTTTAAGGCACATGTCCCGTGGCAAATTGTTTTCCAATTATTTACTAGCGTCTGTAGCAAGTCATCTGTTTAGGTCCCGTTATCAGCATTATAAAAAGTCTTTAAAAATTTTACTGACAATTAATAAAGTATGACACTCATGTATTTTTTATTAAAATAAATGTGTCCGAGCGAGATAGCTATACCTTCTTAGTAACATTTGTATTAAAAAATGACATAAACACAGCCCTCAAATAGACAACTTGCTAGCATAAAACACACAATTTTGTCAACAACAGCATTGAATTAAGGTGCAAATCTTAACATAACTAGCGTAGAAATAGTAACAATAAGTTAGACATTACCCATATTTGGATGCGACGAGCTCTATAACTCGTATTACCTTAGTAAGTTGTTAAATAATTATTGTTTCACCACTGTCTTTTAATAAGGAAGTACTAAAGAGGTTAGCTTCACTGACTGAAGAGCTATATTGACAATTGCAAACTGCCTGTTTATAATTTTAATTTTGAAAAAGTTCACTTCTCTTTAGCCAGGCTATGTTAAAATGTCCTAAATATATTTTAACTTGATCAGACCAATAAGTTTTACAGTATGAGATTGAAATTGAAAAATGTTTTCAAACTAGGAAGGTAGCCAATTTCTTGAAATGTAACAGACATTTCAAGAAATTCAATATCTGATGAACATAATTTGTATGAACAATGGTCCATATAAGTTTAACGGCAACATATACGAAAGATTGTGTAACCAGTCGTAATAGACAACCCGTACGGTATTTGGAAGTAGGTAAAAGGGGAAGTATTTCGATTCGATACTATGGGAAGCTCCTTTTGTGCTAAACTGTTAGAAACAAGGTAAAGAATATTCTTTACCGCCCTTTATTACAAGTAGACAGTGGTTGAGTTAGTACGCACATAAATACTTTACCATTAAATACTTAATAAACTGTTCTATTTCATACATTAACGGAATTGCATGGAAGATGACCAACATCTAGGACCAGACGTTTATAACGTCAAAAAAGGTAGGTATATAATAAAATACTATTTCAATGTTTCCCACAAAAAGATCATCCGTCAATTCCAAGTAGTGGAATTATTCATATTAATTTTTATTTATAATATAAATTCATAAATAGACATACAAAATATATTATTTGTAATGCTAAGAAAATTCACATTTCAAACGACACGAAATAACATAACGTTTATCCTAAATTCTAATAAATACATAGACATTATATGGTAAGAGTAACAGTAAAGAGTTCCAAAACTGCCGTAGTGAAAATATATATTTAGGGCTGGCAATACCGCGCCGTAACTTTAAAAAAATAGTAGTTCGAAATTCGAAATAACCGTTATATTTGTTTAATTTTAATCAGTCGAAAACAAAAATATTTGTTGTATATTGTTTAAATATTAGGTACAAACGGAATGCTGTTATTAACATCAGAATAAAAATACAGAGAAAGGAACGGCGTTATTAAAGTTTTTTATAGAAAAATAACAATTTTATTGACTAACTGCGTGTAAAACAGACTACGATAGTTCATCGTACATAGGTCTCGTGCTGTGGACAAAACGGTGAATATTTGCAAATATTTTATTAGTTCGAAAATACGCAGTCAGATTGGTGTTAAATCTGAGAAAATCTAGTCCAACTACGTGGTCCCTGTTATAAGTCGTGGGCCGATTTTGTTAATATAGCATTTTCTACTATACATTTATCAAATATTCGGTGACTGCTAGCGAGCAATGGTGTATACATAGTAAGTAGAAATTTATAAGAAAGAAATCATACTATATTTCCCACATACTTCGGCCCACAAAATGTTCTTGAACTACAAACAGCTATACGATTTGGCTTACCAAACGACCAGAAAACCTATGTTTGGTCCGTCTCACTGTTCAACTTACACCTAAACATTGAGCTTATGCTAGATATTTATAAACATTCAATATAGTCTATTCACTGATTACGTCACAACACAGATTTTTTTTCATAATATGTTGTTTTGTAAAATCAACGCTTAGTACAGTAATGGTAAGGTTGATTTCGCATTGTATGGGTTTTAACGTTAATTGTATTGTGACGTAATTGGCGTAAGATCGTTTATGAGGAGTGCATTCGACCGCTAGATGGAGCTAGTGATCACTGACTATCGCGGCAGTAACTTTAGCTTTTTTCTATATCTCAGTCGATGTGTAGGTAATATTGATAATCATAGAGATATAAGTTTGTATAAAATAAATGTTTGTGCTCGATTAATTAATTCTATTTTTGGTTATATCTTTGAGACTTTGGCCGTGCCCACTAGCGCCATGCCGCGGCAGTGTCTACAACTAATGCCTCCATATTGTTCTAAGTGCTACAAGCCTTGAGGCCTCTCTATCCGTTATCAGATAATCTCAATTGCTCCATTCTATTTTCAATCGCTAAATATGACCATAGACCTGCAACTTAATGTAATCTTTTAAACAATATTTCATAGATAACGATTGAAACAGACACAACATATAAAAAATAAATACTTGCATTGGTAATCGCTATCTATGTCAACAAATGTGTGAGGCTTGTATGGAGTTACTGGTTCATTTGGGTACTTTTTACATTGAACTTGATAATATAACAACAATCAATAAATACTCCAATTTTAAGAGAAAAATTAACTATTGTAGAAAATTATTACGTTCATATTCCATTCAAATATATCATGATATTATTGAAACTTAGATATCGTTACGTACTTTATACCGAAAACCAGTTCCCTCAATACAAATTTGACCATACCTACTTATGTAACATCGCAGCTCAATAATATCATATGGTTTCCTTATTTATATTCTTATAATATTTTGTTCTTTAAACCCGCGGCCACCTCACACAAAGGTATTTAAAAAAGACTAAGATTGACTAATCCACATTGGCGACAGAAAATTTATTATACTCTTTGCAAGAGACAGGTTTGTTATCGCTTGAAGAGGTAAATTTATATTATGGCCTGACATTTCGAGTATAATAAGGTCGAAATTCCTAAGGCAATTTGTAAGTAAATAGTCAATCAAGGTCTCGATTCAACAATTTTAAAGCATGGATATCGATTACCAAACATCCCGAGCCTGGCCTGCCCATTCCTAAACAGAAAGCCTCAACATATCCAAAGCTAACTCACAAATTACAATATATTACATAACTAGGTTACACAATGAACTGAACTAAGGAGTCCGTACACCATCGCGACTGTATTTAAATGTTCTAACTTAATACAGATGATAATACTATCAACTGTACTAAATAAAGGTAATGAGGAAGATTGCTTTTTCAATGACATCCCAGATGGCGCTTTTGGTGTTTAAGATCCAAGTCTGTCGTTTTTGTGACTGTGCTAATTATTAGTTTTCAGATCTCAGTATTAACTGATAGTTAGATGAATTAAGTCTATATATAAAAAAACAATACATGACCTATTTAGAATAGCAATCGAACCTTAAATTATGGTGTAAGCCAATCTTCCCCATTACAATTTACAAAGACCCGGTATCAAACTATATCATGAAACTTACGCAAAAAGCGAGGGTGGCGCCGCTATTTCTCAGCTAACTTCAGTAGGGGCCGCAATGAATAGTGTGAAGTACGGAACAAGTTGTTCCTGTACAATAGGTGTATGAGACACTGTGTTATATTGTCGTTAGACTCTGGTGTTGTTCTGCCATCTACGTGTTTACGTGTCCCTGGAAAAGAAAGTATTCGTAAAGAAATACTCTGTTTTGTTAAGTTGTACTAGTTAAAACTTATCCTATTTTCAAAAACAGGTGCTTAGTATAGTATAATCTGTTAAAAACAAGATAAAATTGCACTTAAGACGTTTTATCATTAGACACGGCATGTATTTTTATTTTTTTGTTTTAACATATAAAGTCTTTACTACTAAAACAATTAATTATAAATAATCTATACCATAATTATAAAGAGGTAAAATTTGTTTGTATTTAGAGGGTAATCTTTGGTACCGCTGGTCAATTTCCGAAATTCTTTCACTGGATAGATAGCTACAACGTTCCTGAGTACTATTCACCCTACGACCAATAGGTGAAACCACGCGGCAATAGCTGGAGTGTGTATATAAATTAAGGTTATGCCCGAATTTATATAAGTTGAACAAAACATGTATGTGTTGTACACTTACTTTCTACTCTTCGATCTGGTGGGAGAGCTATTGTTTGAGGTGTGTGGACTGTCGCTCAGGTCGGAGCTTGAGCTTCGAATGTCGCCGTCCATCTGTAAATATTACAATTTAACATTAAACCTTTTAAATTACAATTTCGCATAAAAATCTGCGTACATTGTGTATATAGATATAAGAAGATGAAGTTCATTCTAGAAAGTGTCGGCGATTTCTCGCTGTTTTATCCGCTGTGTTTGTTTAGTTCTGTTCTTTTGAAGAGGTTTTCAAATGTGAGAGATTAATGCTTCGGCACGAATGGGCCTGCTTGACCAGATTAATAAGACTGCCTCACAGGAAACCAATGTATAAAAATGTTTTGCCGCCCCCCATTCCTATCCAACCATATTTTTTTTTACTTTTTCTAGTTTAACGAAGCTAATTGCTTACGGATGGATCGCCTGATTGTCAGTTTACAGCATTATACTAAAAAAAGTAACAATAGAGTGTTAAATACCTGCCCAGCCTTAATAGCGACGTACGCGATCTGCAGTATGAGCCAGGTCCACACTATGTGCAGTACGAGTAGTAGACACAGCAGCGAGTTGAAGATGTAGTAAGCGGGGAACATCGGGAGCAGCATGGGGGCGCGGATCGATGTACTGGAAATATACACGATATTCATATAGAAAATAGACCTACTATATATTATGCTTTAAGCTCAATTTCCCTTACCAATTTTAGAAGTTCGCACGACATAAGACTTTTCAATAATCTCACGATCTTAACAGATCTCCCAATAAATTATGTTGACTACAAAGGCTTAATTCGTGGATTTGACGATAATAATGCTTTTTGGCTAAAAAATACTTACATGCGTAAATTAACTGAAAAAGCTCTACTTGTTTAAAACCACAAAGGGCTATTCAAAAACGTCATATGTTGGAATTTCGTATTTCGGTCGACTACTCGACTGTATATTATGCTTTCAATATAAGTATGAGTATGAACTAACATATTGGCAATATACCATTACCAATATATGGTACTTTCCAATTAGTCGCTTCCGCTTACAGACAATTACAAAAACAATGGTAGTCTCACCTCCAAATGAGGTAGAAGGGGTAGATACCGACACGGGTACCGATCCACACTACGATCAGCATCAGGAAAAGCACGTCACACAGCTTCTGGTACTTCGCGTATTTAGACGCCTTCACCGACTGAAACATTACAATTGTAGTATTTTAATGACATATTAATATTATTGGCTTGTGTTAATCCACTTAACAGGTCTGATGTGAAACTTGCTTGTCTATAAAGTTAGTTTGCGGACGGTAGTTTGACTTGACAACATCCAACATTAGAGTAGTATAGCCGATCCTGCTTCTTTCTGGTCCGTGCCGCACTCTTGCTTGCGGAACGCGACAATAAGCGTAACGGGACAATGACGTCACCTTTTTCGTGAATATAGCCCGTAGTCTCGAGTTATTAGACGTCAAATCTAAGCTTAGAAGGTCGCAGTCATATCAACGGAAGTTGAAAGTTTATTCTAATGAACCTGACCCAAATCAAACTTGATAATATTATTATTAAAAACCGTATTTTAGTGAATAACGTTAAAATAACATTGTCATTAAACTTTTATAATCAATCTTACACAAGGGTTAAAAGTATATGAAAATAGCTGTGCTAGAGACCCCTAATGAATCGAAATCTGAGAAAAAGGTTAAATACCGGTTTTAGGGTCTTTAATGTCAACTTACTTCAACAAATATGTCAGCACAGTCGTGGAGTAAGAGTACGAGCGTGCCGATCCTGTGCAGGTTGCAGACCCAGCTGAAGGAGAGGAGCAGGATGGTGGCGATGTGGTGCACGAACATCTGCCAGAAGTCCTTGCGGCGCACGTCCCAGAACTGGGAGAACGTCAGCGACCAGTAGAACGCCGCCGAGATCATGTAGTACCACCAGATGTCGTTCGTGATCCCCTGGAATTGAAAGGACAAAAATTAACATTTTATTATCGTTATCAACTAAAAATGCCGAAACAGAACAAAGTTCGAGTGTAAGTTAAGCCGGACTTAATCCACTTATATACGCATCCTGTAAAAACGGATCGGCTCCAACAACTTTGACGATTTCATCAGTCTATCTCTAATTCTCTAGCGGAAGGGCTATACTTACAGGAAACCATTCCTTCGGGGGAAAAGCGAAGAAACGTAGCAATAAACTTTATTTGGTAACACAAGTGGAATGTGATGAGAGAATATTGTAGACTTCTTTGTTTAAAAAAAAAACTAGTTTAACTTAATAAAATGTACATTATGCAAGACCCTGTTTTGAGTTAAACCAGGGTCTTAAAGTTAACTCGATGCGACCTTCTTACTGTTATCAAGGCTATATAACATTTTATTCTTTTTAAAACATATTAATTCTAAGTTCGTCGACCGAGTAATTAATTGATAAGTTTTAACATAACGGCCAAACATTATTTCTTTAATTACTTTCAATATATTGTTGCGTAGGCATTTTGGCAGTCTACTTTTTGTTATAAAATTGAAATATGTCTTATGACTGAACCATTATATATATAGATTTGTATATAAAAAAAACTTTACAACTTATTTAATTTTATAGGCAATACGAAATTCGAAATTAGGTTTGTCCCAAGATGATATAAAACAGTGATAACAAGGATCAACAAACAAAGCACGGAAATGAAGTCGTGGGAAAGATAAGTATACTATTAAATATAAGTTAGCAAAACTACAGAACACTATTACATAAGATTTTAAACCACGTGCTCCAAGAAGTTTGTTTCTAACAAGTCTAATCAACAAATAAATGCAAATTTTATGATGCATAGGAACCGAGATATTAGTAACATGCCTATTTTGGTGACCTTAAACGTTATCTTAAAAGAGTCTGGTCGTTGACTTCTTCTAACGTTCAATTTAATATGTAGGAGCAGGTGTTTAGTATAAAATTGTAGATTAAAAATGAAGCAGTGTAAGCAGTTGCCCCACCACCTCGACAACCGTGTAGTCGATAATATCATAGATTTAACCATATACTTATGAAACGTCAAAATAGAATGGTAGTCTGTCAGTCTGTTCGTCAATGAAGCTAGGTGCTGATATTCAACTTATACTAACATGCTGTATATCTTTTCGAGATTCATATTAATGACTCATGCAACACAATAATTCATCTCTAGTCAATCGGAGCACTCAATTACGTTAAGAGTATACCTTTAAACAATATTGTCTGCAATTAGAGTACAGTTAGCAACACAATTGGTTTGTTCTACCATGTCATTAGTACAACAATTACACCAATTTACAATTGTCAGTGTTCTAACAGGTACTAATTAGTTTTTTACATATTGAGCGTTCGGATGTAGTTGGTTTTGGAAGTATGTTGTATTTTTAATAGTTTTCTGAACGAACTTGCAAGACTTATCACATAAATAAATGTGGAAGCTGCTTACGGAGAATCTACGCTTGGAGAAGAATGCGAATAGTGGGGTAAACATTGTACCGAAGACCGAACGCGAAAGATTACAAGGCATAGAAAAAAAATAGTATACAGGTAAAAGGTAGGTTGTGGTGTTTGTGTGAAATTCTAATTGATGTGTGGGCACTTGGATTTTCTCTTGTGTCGTGGGTACGTGTGCAACATTAATAAAAAAAATGTTTATTACATAACTCTATCTGACTCTTCACAGAAAAAATAAAACTTATCAAATCAAATATCGATAAAAATCTATATGATTAATATAGTTATTTCGGTATACATATCTTATCAGCAAATCTTGTTTTCTATCGCGTATTGTAATCGAGCTGTCTGTTAAACCTTATAATCGTAGTAAACATCGTCTGAACATTCTTTAGCCAATTAAAATTCCGTATAGAGGTCATTATCTTGTATAAGATAGCCTTGTCTGTTCAACGTTCAAATATAGAACGTTTAGTTTTTAAACTGTTGCATAATACAAACCACAACACATAATATACACCTAAAACACACATAAATTCACTGGCATCTGCGGCAAAAATTCTAACTTTATTTCAACTTTTTTCTTGATGATTAACGGTTTTAAACATTAAAAAAAGAATTATAGAATTCGTTTAAAGTACACACACAGAGGAATTTTGCGCTAAGCACATGTTTTTCTATTTAATTAAAAGTACTTCAACTATAATTGGAGGTAATTTATGGGAAGTCAAATTAGAGTTTGGATAAAACATCTGCTTGGTTTAATTAAAGTTTATAGACCCTTATGGCTATTAATTTAAGAGTGTTTCTATTTGAAGTTTCTTAAGGACACGTGGTATGATGCTAAAGAAATGTCCCACAGAACGCGAAAACATGACCACGTACTGCCAATTTTAGTTGGAAATAAATGTAACTGCCGCGCAACGAGTCGCGGTTTCGATTCCCGCATGGAATAACTCTTTGTGCGATACACAGATTGTTGTTTCCGGGCCTGGGTGCGCTGTGTACGTGAATTTATGTGTTTGTAAACGCAACCACGACACAGAAGAATATTCTAGCGTGGTGCAACTTTTTTTTAAATACTGTCTATATGACGAAATATCAATCAACTGACGGAAGTGAAAAGTGGTGATGTTCATTTTATGTTTTTAGATTGCATTAAATTACTTAAAATAAAACTGCTATATATATTTGAGACTAAGTTAAAAGCCTAGCTGGTTGCGGGTAAAGGGGCAATGACATACCGCGGCCCAGGTCGAAGAAGGAAATGGAACGGGGTGGGTTTTCGTTAGGGAATGCAACCCGGTTTTACCGAAATTCGAAAACCCGGGTTTTTGTGATATTTTAAACGATAAAAAAACTCGATTTTTTTAGCCACGTTTCCGGGTTTTCGGTGTTTTCGGTTTTTTTTAATGGCAACACTATAGCACTGTCAAAGTGACATTTACGCTCTCAAGAAAAAGACAACTGAAGACTAGGCTGCATGGGCTCACGCTCTTTGCCTTCCCTTACATGGGAGAATCTTAAAGAAAAAAGGGATGTTTGTTTAGGTATTATTACTCTTCTCTGTGGTTTGTTTCTATAATTTAATAAGTTTTAGCTATTTTCGAAGTAAAAAATATAGAATTAAAGTAAATTTATCGTACAATTTCAAGTGTTCATCGTGCAGTACAGTTATTTCTGTTATTTAAATATTATTGTAGGTAGATGCACTAGAGTACAGACAGTTCCTATAAATACTTTAAAAAGTAAAATATTCTTTAAGCAATGTTTAATGATTTTGTTATTTTCATTTTCAGTATCTTAGCTGTAGCTGTTCTATCAACATGATAATTATGTTTATTCAGTGAATTAATTGTCTAAAGTTGATTATTGTAAGATTGATTGTTAACGATTTCATAGTTTTCGTAATAAATAAATTAAAGTTATTTTCCTTTGATCACGATTTTTTATTCGTTTTCATGTAGTTTATATAAAAAGTACTTACAAAAAAAAATAAACTCGTTTTAAACCCGATTTCACCGAAAACCGGGTTTTTTAAAATAGAACTCATAAATAAACCCGGTTTTAAATTTTGGCGGGTTTTGCATTCCCTAGTTTTCGTCATTAGAAGTTTCAAACTACCTCAAGCCAGGGCGAAAGAGTAATTCTTAGACTTTCCTCAGGTCAATAAAATCCTAGATCTAAGCGAACGAGGACCCGATTTTCACTCGAACGAAATCTCCATCCAAATTGTAAAAGTTCGTATAAAAAATATCCGCAAGGATTTAATTAGCAGCCTAGGTTTTATAACAATGATAATAAAGTGTGTGTGAGAAGAGACACGTGTAACAGGTATCGATTAATTTATTACAATTTTAATGCGATGCAAACAATGAAATGAAGGTTAGATTTTATGTCTTTTCTTTTCTCGCTCCTTGTATGATACGTTCTCAACAAAACCGGCGGAGTGGAAACTAAAAGATTACGTTTAAACTAACAAGACTATTAGAAGTCGTATACTGCACAAAAACAAATATTGTATTTAGGAATCATTCAGAATGCCTGCTAACGAACAACGTAATGATTCCTCGCCTCGTTAAAATTCCCGCACAGAACCAATCTTAGTATGATACACATATTGTTTTGAATATGGCTGCGATGTATAACATGGTTGGTGATTCTAGACATCAACTAGGCTGAAAACTTACAATGTCATTATCCTCACCCAAAGTGAAGTAAAGTAAAGCAGGTAAAATTAAATCGTTTCACTGCTTCATAGCAGTATTGATTAAGTGGTTAATAAATAACGCGGGACTAAAATTATTTGTTTAATAAATATTAAAGTATTTGGAAAATCGCCCAGGTATAAGAAACTCATAAATGCCTCCATGATATGAAATGTTTATAAGCACTCCTAATAAGCTACTTCTTCATAGAACTATTTTCGATTTGCCTTACCTGATGAGGGTATCCAATGTAGCACTGGTCGATGTCCCACAGCCATTCCTTATCCCATAGAGTATATAACCCGAAAGTGAAGTTACAAGTATAGAAGAGCACTTTCCATGCATTTTCACAGAACTTCACTAGGGTCGAAGGCTTGTCTTGACCTCGGCGGAGGCGCCACCAACGCTGCAACTCACGCTCCGAGATATCGAGTTTCTTGGCTAAGATCTCCGGCTGAAAAGATAATGTAAAAATTAATTTTGTTTTAAGATAAGTAAAGTTGATCAACATTCATATTATTGGATGAAATATTTAATTATTTGTAGTGTGAATATTAAGCGTGGGAGAGCCTGACTTCGCCACGAACGGGCCGGTTCGACCAGAATGATACCGCGGCCTCACAGAAAACCAGAGTGAAACAAGAAGTTGTTTCCCTATGCGAGCGAGGCCGAATCACCCCCGTCCCGTTCCGCCATCCCCAATTTTTGGTAAGTTATTTTTACGACATGGAAAGAAGGTTCACAGGTTGTATTACTAGTAATCTATAAATGTCGTGTTTAAAAAAATAGACGTAAATCAAATTAAAAACGATTCCATTCATAGAACCGCTATAGCTAAATGCTTCGATAAACCTTAGAAGATAAGTGTCTATTTTGGTTGCTAAACAAAACCAAAACCTGATAACACTCAGCTGAAATAACTATAAAAGATATGTACAATACAATTTCACGTTTTCTCAAGTAACATATAAAAAAACAACAAAATACATTATCGGAAAACGCTTATCGCCTAGGTAACATTTCAGGTTTTGGTAAACACTATACCATTATACTTAACTATCGGGAGACATGCTAAATGTATTGTAAACAATATTTTATTTTTATTAATATACATAGATCGATTACGACGTAATGTTTGTTCATTGCATCGATCTGGGATCATCCAAAAAGTTGGATTGGTATATACAAAAATTGGTAATTATAAATGCATACATGGCATTCATTTCTTGTGTAAAACGAAGCTTAACATCACATCACATTGTCATCCTATAAGTGCCCACTGCCGAGCAAAGGCCTCCTCTCACACGGAGAAGGAGCATTGAGCATTAATCACCACGGTAACTTAAGGTGTATTAGTCCAGGTTTCGCCACTATGTTTTCTTTCACCGTATGTGTCAGTGATGTCGAAATAATCAAAGAAAGTAAAAACATATAATAACTAGGAAAAAGTCACATTGGCACTTGCCAGGTTAGAAATGGGCCACCACGATAGCAGAAGCGTCAAATAAATAAATAAACGTTATCCTAAGTATTACAACTAGCGTACAAATGATACGTGGGACCGATAGTGTAGGTCGTAATTTAACAAATCCACGTGGGCACCTGTAGGCGGTAATATCTCCAAACCAATGATGCCATACGGTTATTTATTGAATATATAGTACGAGGGCATTTGATCCACGTAAAAATTGATAGCCGATAACTGTATTGAGCGGGCTTAGCAGACCTGATGGCAATAAAATGTGTAGATAACATTGGATCCGTTCTCTCATACAAAGATAAATAGTATAATTTAAATAAATTTATCTTGACCAAAACTAAAACACTCTTCTTTGAAAACACAGTAAATGTATACTTATTTTAAAGGTAAAGAGTTTATTTGTTCGAAGGCGCTAATCTCTGTAATTACTGGTTCGAATTGCAAAAAATGTTTTTGTGTTGGATTGTCCCTTAAACGAGGACTAAAACATGATGCCACGAAACATTGCGAACTACAAGCAGCGGATAAAATAGAGGGAAGAAAACATATTTCGAGCGTTTCGACCAAGTTGCTGTGATCGTAACCCAGAGGACACTGGTCCATTTGGTTTCAATCGCAACAAGACTCTTTAAGAATTTCTTCTTTCACTCTTTTTGGGTAGGTTTTATGTATAAGTTCTTTTTATCCCGATATTCCTACAGGAAGGGCCCAGATGACAGATTGATCGAGTCTAGATTTGTGCGTGCCAGGTTTCCCATTACTGAATGAGACTAGTAGGATAACAGGTTACTAGTATCTAATGTATCGTCCTTTTAAAGTTACAAGAAAACTAAACTGCAATGAACTGACGAATAATTATATATGAGCATACCGAACTACGCAATTAATTGGATATAAACTACATTTAATGTTGCGAAGCCGTATATACAAGAACCACGTAGCGTTAACCACATTTCAGACTTTACGACATACACTAAACTCGTGGTCGAAGCCACCGAAATACAATTTTAATGTAAGAAAATTGCCTTTAGGTTGATAACAATTTCATTTTAGAGGTATAAACTGTTTTGTTCATGTTACTTTTAACCTTGTATTGAATCGATATTCAGTAAATACAAACAGTGAAATATTATTGACCATAGTGTAGCGGCAGTAATAATTTTCTTCATACAATTTTCATAATTCTGTATTCATGAGTTTAATAGTAGGTACGTTTCAGACAAGGTTTTGTTTATAATGATAGTTATCGTTAAATATATTTTTGATAGACTACGTAAGATTATAGTTACTGATATTAGTAAAAAAATGCTTTTTCATCTCTTTAATGCGTAGTTGTTTATCGACATTATACTGTGGCAATTTCGTGCAAACTGCAAGCAGTGGCTTGTACAGATATTCCCAGAACCATTTTTTTAATACACCTTAAATATTATTATTACACCATTGTAGCAACAAAGCAATCGGGTTTTATAGTTTAGCATACGATATATTTGCCGATTGCGAAATACCACACACTGTCTATTTACCTACATACTTTTTATAAAAACCTTACCTAATGTAAGAAACCTTCAATACATTTTCAACTTTATACTGAAACAATAACGTTTAATTTTGACCTTTTTGTAAGTTGACTTTCAGGCGTACATACAATGTACTACTCAACAAACTATTGCCTAGGTTACAAACGAATTATAGACAATATCTTTTCATCATAGCAATCAAAATATGCCTAAAACATAGTTGATGACTGCACGGTTGGCGCGGTGACTGGGCAACTGGTTGCCGAGCTGCGTGTCGGTGCGATTCCCGCACGGAACAACTCTTTGTGTGATCTACAAATTGTCGTTCCGGGTCTGGGTGTCTTGTGTACGTTTGTAAACGCACCCACAACACAGGAGAAAATCCTAGTGTGGGGCAACGTTTTTTTTAAAAAAAATACCAAGACACTATCAAAATTTACAAATTACGCCTCCAACACATGCACTCGAGGCACTCGGAATTTGTAAACAGATATGATTATACGATATCAGACATATTTACCTTAGCGTAGGTACCTATGTACCTGATGGTTTTGGTAATAGCTAATACGATAAACTATCTTATCCTATCTTTTACGAGTTCACGAGGACGTGTAGACGCTTGTTACCTAATTTTGCAAAAACACGCGGCGCGACGCTAAGGCCGACAGACCGATACACGTTAAGCTTTTCAAGCGTGTCTGTCAGGCTCAAAAACGACTGCAATGATTTTGATACGATTATTCAATAGATAAAGTAATTTATTAATAATCAAATAGCTTCACTCGAGGTCAGACCCAAAGACTGACACAGAGTTGAACTTTATGATATTTGTTTTTTTTTTGACGTTCAAAAATGTATATAGAAAGTTGTAAGTGGTGTAAATAAGTCATGAGGACGCCTTGTAGACTCACTAGTAACCTAATTATCAGATAATTTTCACCCTAGTCACGTTGCCGTTGATGCTGATGCTGCGGGTGGATTGTCTCTTAATGTACCCTGGGCATGACGAATCATACCCTAAGCGACGTAAAATAGAGAGATAACAGATAATCGTTTATCATCCATTATTGGTTTTAATAAAAGAAATTAAAATACAAAAAGGCTGTGAAAGTGGTCGATACTTCAATGGGCAATGTCACAAAATTAACTTTAGCGGATTAAAAAAAAAACAGAGCAATGCAGAGAACTAAGATATGCTGAGAAAAGATCTATGAGCTTAAATCCTCCTTGAAGAAAATCTAACTAAGAAAAAAATAAGAAAAATAATCTGTCACACATAACAAAAAAGGTGATTTGATGTATTGAACTAATCACCAAAATAGGTATCTGAAACCTAGACTTAAGGCCAAAGTTTAATACATACATTCATTCACGTAAGTACGCACTTGTAATCAATTTAATTCCAAATTGTAATCAAATGACGAATCGACCTTATTTTATGTAATCGGATGGAAAAACCACTTTACTCATTACTTATCAATTAGTGAAATGGTGAGACACATGATACATGTAATTATTGATTGATTACAACGATTAATGTATTATTCATAAGGCAATTATTATTGACAAGTTGTACCCCGCGGTTTATTAGCGTAGTTCGGCTGTGTTCGAAACATGGCAAGTAAAAATGTGATTATTTCAAAATCATGTGTGCTTTCTAACTGTATTTAGATACCACAGACATACGGTAAAGAAAAACATGGCGAGGAAATCTGGACTCATAATCTAAAATAATAGAAAAAGATTGCCAGGAATTTATAATATGTTTTGTAGCGAACTAAAAATCAATAAATAATCGGTTTTTGAGTTGTTTCAATGTGTTGCTATAAGTTTTCCTCAAAATTCTGTGTTTATTTTATTTCAATCCAATGCTATGCAATGCGTAAGTAACTCTGCCTATCTGTCTGTCGCTCCTACTGAACCGATTTGAATAAAATTTTGTACAGACATAGTTTGAAACTCGAGAAAGGACATAGGATAGTTTTTATCCCGGTAATTCAAAAGGAGAACTTCCCGAATATCCTACGTGATCGGAAACTATTGTAACTATTGGCTTACCAACTATTAGGCATTCGTGGAAAGAGTGGAAGGTTTTACTGAGAGAATCTTTCCCGTCTACCGAGAACTATGCTGAACTTCTAACCGAAATGCTTAATAGAAGGGCGCGCCCTGGTGACTCCTTAGAATTATACTATTTTTCCAAGATAAACTTATTAAATAGATGTAAAATATTTGGTAAGCAGGCAGTAGATTGCTTAATTTTTGGAATTGAAGACAAAGGCATTAGATTAAGTGCTCAAGCAGGGAAGTTTAACAAACCCGAGGAAACTTTAGAGTTTTGTAAGACAGTTAAGTCTCATCCTAGAGAGTACAGCGAGGGTATTAGGAGGGAAGGAACCAGTAAAGATAATAAGCGCTTTCAAAGTTTTACTACAACCTCGACCAACTCTGAAC